CCCTGCAAAGAAAAAACAAAAAAAACAAAAAAAGAACGCGACGGTGTCTTGATCTTCGATGGCCTTCACGACAGAATGAGAGAGCATAATTTTTAACAGTTTAGTAGTACTGCGAGGAAAGAGCCTTCACTGGCCCCTATCAGACATACAGAGGCCCCCAGCAAGCCAAGTGCCCACCCTAAGTGAAGGAGGGCTTGAATATTCATCAGAGGCCAAAATTCGACATTTTCATATATGGGTATTCCCCCAGTTGGTTGAGTGTACGTGTGAACCTCACTAAGCTGTGTCGTACAGTTGGCCCAGGCCTTGGCAGTTGCGCCTTGGCACATACGCACGAAGCAGGGCTGATACATCATGAAGTGGCTACCGGCCTACGCAAAAGCAGTACTGTCAACGCACCTACCCCGCGGTCCTGCACAAATGCAGCAAACGGCCCAAGTCCGGAGACTTAGGCCGTGCCCAACTGTTAAGGGACCCAGGCTCTCAACTGTATTCTCGGGCCTGGGCACAGGAACTGAGGCCCAACCGGAAGCGACTGGAAGCTTCCAGCCAGGCCACACGCAGCATCCAGGAGGCTGCCACTTCCATATAGGAAGTGAGGCAGCCCAGGCCAGGCATTCTGGCCCGCGTAGGCAGTGCGGTCACGCTGCTGCGCTGCTGAATTGGATGCTGCGTGCGGCCAGTGCGCTGGCGGGGCGCTTGAGGTGAAGTGGGGTTCTGCAGGGCAGCAGTGCGCTGGCAGCCATAGCCGGGCTGCTGGGTGCTAGGGGGTAGGGACGATCTGGTGGTCTTCAGGGAAGGAGGCGAGTGTGTGGCGCTGCTGCATTGGATGCTGCATGCGGCCAGTGCGCTTGCGGGGCGCTTGAGGTGAAGTGGGGCTCTGCAGGGCAGCGGTGCGCTGGCAGCCATAGGCGGGCTGCTGGGTGCTAGGGGGTAGGGACGATCTGGTGGTCTTCAGGGAAGGAGGCGAGTGTGTGGNCAGGGCAGCGGTGCGCTGGCAGCCATAGGCGGGCTGCTGGGTGCTAGGGGGTAGGGACGATCTGGTGGTCTTCAGGGAAGGAGGCGAGTGTGTGGGTTAATCAAGGTCTGATGAGGGTGAAGAGGTACGTACCTGGTGAGAGCAGAATTTTTAACAGTTTAGTAGTACTGCGAGGAATGAGCCCTCACGGGGCCCTTATCAGACATACAGAGGCCCCCAGCAAGCCAAGTGCCCCTTAAGTGAAGGCGGGCCTGAATATTCATCAGAGGCCAAAATTCAACATTTTCATATATGGGCTATGTGACACCCGCGACCGCGGCCGCGGGCATTTCGGCCGCTGCGGCCGAAAATCCCGGCCGTGGCCGCGGCCAACGAGGCCCGATCTTCGGCCTGTTTTTTTAAATATATTTTTTTCCCCCTAAAAATACTCAAAAATATATATATATATATATGGGGGTGTTGGGCTTCGAAAACCCCACACCCCTATATTTTTTGTTTTGGAATCCGACGTTGTTGAGGATTTTTAAAAAATCCAAAAAAAAAATCGATTTAAACATAGTTAAAAATATACAGTTTGTCACAGCCCCTCGTTTGTTGTCCTCTTCTCCCTCTCTGCCTACGGTTTACCGGGCAGTTCTATT